AACTAATTTGCCCTCTCTCCACCATGTGAGGACACAGTGAGAAAGCAGCTATCTGTTGTATGCCAGTAAAGAAAGCCCTCACCAGAAACTGACCATGCTAGCACCTTGATCTTAGACTTCCTGCCTTAAGAACTGTGAGAAAATGAATGTTTGTTATTTCAGCATCCTGTCAATATCTACAAAATAACCTGTTATTGATCCAGATTGTGTTGCATCTACAAATCAAGTTGAAAACTGACATCCTGACAATACTGACTTTTATTTAAAAAAAATTTTTTTTGCTACCATAGCAATTGAATTTCAAATATTGACTCTTCTTATCCATGAACACAGAATATCTCTCCATTTCTTGAGTTCTCCTTTGATATCTTTTCATCAGAGTTTTGTATTTTTCCTCATATAGATTATATATTTTGTTAGATTTATACCTAAGTTATTTTATTTTTGCTGGTGCTAATGTAAACTACAATATATATTTAATATCAAATTCCACATGTTCATTGCTGGTATAAAGACAGTGACTGACTTTTGTGTGTTAACCTTATACCCTGGAACCTTATGAAAATCACTTTTTAGGCTGGGTGCAGTGGCTCACACCTGTAATCCTAGTACTTTGGAAGGCTGAGGCAGGAGGATTGCTTGAGGCTAGGAGTTTGAGATATAGTTCCAGGAGTCTTTTTGTTGATTCATTCAGATTTCCACATAGATGATCATGTCATCTATAAACAAAGACAGTTTTATTTCTTCCTTCTCAGTATCTATACCTTTTATTTCCTTTTTGTGTCTTATTGCATCAGCTAGGACCTCTAGTACAATGTTGAAAAGCAGTGGTTAGAATGGATATTCTTACCTTGTTCCTGATCTTGGCAGGAAAGCTTCAAGTTTCCTACCATTAATTATTAGGTTATTAAGTATGAAATGTCCAATTTCCTTAAGTACTAAGTTTGACAGTTGAGATCTGATATTTCACTTTGACACTTGTTTTATTTTTATTGTAAAGGTACATCCTTAGTCTTTCAAACACACATTTTGGCTTGTGATTATCTCTCACATTTTTTTTAGGGCAATTTTTGTGAAATCATGGATATTGGTGTTATTTTTTAATATGGGTTCTGTCATAAAACCAATGCAGCATAGACAACTCAAAATATCAATGAAGCACTTTGGAAGGATGTAGCTAATAAATATGCAGTACAATGATGGTTTGAGAAGTTCCATTCTGGTGAATTTTAATCTTGAAAATGAGCCATGTGGGCAACCTGAGACCAAGGTAGATAATGATGAGCTGAAAACTGTAGTGGAAGCGAATCCATCTCAACCTATGCATGAATTAGCAGCGAGGTTTGACATTACTATTCCAATAATATTGGACCATCTGAAACAAATCAGCAAAATAAAGAAGCTGGATAGATGGGTTCCACATGAATTAAATGAATGTCAGAAGAGAAATCACCACAAAGCTTGCCTTTCGCTGCTGTTACAACATAAAGGAGAACCATTTCTATATTGTATTGTTACACGTGATGAAAAATGGATTCTTTTTGACAATGGCAAGCTTTTGGCATAACGGTTGGATTAAGGTGAAATGCCAAAACAAAGTCCAAAACCGGATATTCATCAGAAAAAGCTAATGGTGTCTGTTTGGTGGTCCAACACTGGTGTTATCCATTATGGCATTATGAAACCTGGTCAACTGATTACAGTAGCAGATGTCTACTGCAACCAATTGGACAAAATTATGAGGATGCTTACGATTGAGCAGACGAGATTGAGCAATAGAGACAGGCCAATCCTCTCTCAAGACAAGCTCAACCACATGTCACACAAACAACACTGCTCAAACTACAGAAGCTGAACTTGGAAACTCTCTTGTCATCCACTGTATTCACCAGACTTTGCACCAACCGACTACCACTTTTTCCAGGCTTTGGACCACTTCTTGCAAGGAAAAATATTCAATTCTCAACAAGCTCTGGAAAACCGCCTTTTGTGATTTCATCACCACTTGCTCTCCAGGCTTCTTCAGTAATGGCATAAACAAGCTACTGTTAAGATGGCAAAACTGTGTCACTAGTTTAGGCACATTCTTTGATAAATTGTAATGCTTCTTGTTTGAGATATAATGAACGAAACTTTTGATTCCAAATCAGACATTTCATATTTAATGACCTAATATGCTGTTAACTACAGTTTTTTGTAGGTGCTTTTTAATAAGTTGAGTAAGTTCCACTCTACTCCTAGTTTGTTGAGTTTTTATCAGGAATTGATGCTGGATTTTGTCATATGCTTTTTCTGCATCTCTTGATACATTCATGTGATTTTTCTTCTTTAGTCTGTTGATGTGGTCCATTACATTAATTGATTTTCTAATGTTGAACCATCCTTGCATACCTGGGATAAATTTCACTTGGTCATGCTGTATAATCCTGTGTATATACCGTTGGATTTGATTTGATATTATATTGGGGATTTCTGCATCCATGTTCATGAGAGATAATTGTCTAAAGTTTTCTTTACTTGTAATGTCTGGTTTTGGAGTTTGGGTAATGTTGGCTCCATAGAATGAAATCAGGAAGTAGTCCCTTTGCTTATATCTTCTAGAAGAGATTATAGAGAAATGGTGTAATTTCTTCTTTGAATATTTGGTAGAATTAATAAGTGAACCCTCTTGAGCCTGGTGGATTCTGTTTTCAAAGGTTATTAACTACTGATTCACTTTTGTTAACAGATATAGACATATTCACATTGCCTATTTCTTCTTGTGTTTGGGAGATTGTATAAATCAAGGAATTGGTTCATTTCATCTAAGTTATCAAATTTCTGGGCATAGAATTGTTCATAATATTACTTATTATTCTTTAAATGTCCATGGGACATCTCTGTAATGATGTACCCTCTTTCATTTCTGATATTAGTTATCTGTGTCCACTTTTTCTCAGTTTAGCTAGACACTTATCGATTTTATTGATCTTTTCAAACAACCATCTTTTGGTTTTGTTGATTTTCTCTGTTGATTTCCTACTTTCAACTTCGTTGACTTCTGCTCTAATTTTTATTATTTCTTTTCTTGTGCAAATTAAACTCCAGGTTTAATTTGTTCTTCTTTTCTAATTTCCTGATATGGTGTGTAGATTATTCACTTTATATCTTTTCTGTTTTCTAATATATGTAATGCTATGAATGTCTAATTACTGTTTTCACCACATCCTGCAAATTTTGATGAGTTGTATTTGAATTTAATTCAAAATATTTTAGAATTTCTCTTCAGATTTCTTCTTTGACTAACATTTTATAAATATGTTGTTTACTGACCAAGTATTTTGGGATTTTCCAATTATCTTTGTTACTGATTTCTAATTTAATATCACTGTGTTCTGAGAGCAAACACTATATGATTTCTAATATTTTAAATATGTTAAAGTGTGTTTGATGGCCCAGAATGTGGTATATCTTGGTGAATGTTCCCTGTGAGCTCAAGAAGAATGCATATTCTGCTGTAGGTGAATGAAGTAGTCTATAGTTATCAATTACCTCCAGTTAATTGATGGTGATGTTGAGCTCCACTATGTCCTTCCTAACTCTGCCTTCTGGATCTTTCTATCATAAAGATAGAAAAGTGCTGGAATCTCCAACTATAATAGTAGATTCATCTGTTTCTCCTTGCAGTTCTATCAGGGTTTTTTTTGTTTTTTGTTTGTTTTTTGAGATAGAGTCTCACTCTGTCACCCCGGCTAGAGTGCTGTGGCATCATCACAGCTCACTGAAACCCTAAACTCCTGGGCTCAAGTGATCCTCTTCCCTCAGCTTCCCGAGTAGTTGGGACTACAGGTGTGCACCACCACACCTAGCTATGTGGTGACATCTTGATAATGAGTGAGTATCCTGTGCTTCATCCACCTTTAGAAAAGAAAGGCTTCATACAACCAATTTTGAATCTGCACTCATTTGGGGTATATTATTTACAAGAGCCTTTCTGAAAAAACTACTAGAAGACAAGCTCCTGCCAACCAAGAAATGATAGAGAAATTATTGGTTAAAGGACTGGTAAACAATTAATACACCTAACTGCATATAAAAGACAGTAACAAAGGTGGCAACATGAGTAATGAAGTGTTATATGCTCTGACAGTGTAGAAACAATATAATCAATGAAAAATGGAGAAGAATGAGGAGGAAAAGGTAGAAAAGTAGAATAAGCCTACTGATAGTAGCTGGGAGTCAAAGCTAATACTTAGAGCTGATAAATCAAGTAGCAAAAGTATATTTAATGGAACAAAGGTAAACATTTAAAAAAGAATACTGGCTCAGTGAGGTGGCTCACGCCTCTAACCCTAGCACTCTGTGAGGCTGAGGCAAGAAGATTGCTTGAGCTTTGGATTTCAAGACCAGTCTGAGCAAGAGCAAGACCCTGTCTCTACTAAAAATAGAAAAATCAGCCAGGCATTGTGGTGCAAGCCTGTAGTCCCAGCTACTTGGGAGGCTGAAGCAGCAAGATCACTTGAACCCAGGAGTTTGAGGTTGCAGGGAGCTATGATGCCACTCTTGCACTCTAGCCCAGGGTGACAGAGCAAGACTTTATCTTGAAAAGAAAAAAATTTAATAAAAAAGAATACTATTAACTAAAATTGGGGGATGGAAGAAAGAATGGGATAAAGGAGAAAAGGACATGGTAGGGAACCACTAACTATTGTCAAAAAAAAGAGGGAAAGAAATATATAAACAAGGGAATGAAAGTGTTATCAAGGTAACTGCTAAAACAAAAATATCTTCTGATCAGAAGAATTATACATGTTTTCAAAGCAAAGCAAAAAGACCAGCAAGAAAAAGTATTTTCAAGTATGTGCATGTGCTTGCACAGGTATGGGGTATGTGTCTGTCTGAGACTGGCCCAGGAGGAGGCCATGGACGTGTACACCATTATCCAGGTGGCCCCTCACTTGAAGCCTCTGAAGGCAGGGTTGGGACAGCATGCCTGGGACTGGCCACCCGTCCACTCTCACCTTTCTGGCAGCTTCTCAAGACCTCTGGTTCCTTAGCTCCCAGAAGATCCACGACCCACAGCTCCTCCCCTTGCTCCAGCTGGGAAATCAGTTCCGGCTTAGGGACAGGGAATCCTGTAGAGGGTGAGGACACTGGGTGAGCCAGTGTGGCCTCTAGGCCAGGTGAGTGGAGACGTACCCTGTGTGCGTGTCTGTATGTGTGTTGGCCAGGGGAGCCCATGTGCTGAGAGTGAGTGAAGGAGAATCCACTCATTAGTTCTCCTGCCCCTGGAGACACCAATGGGGCCACTGGCAATAGGAATGAAGTCCCTAGAATTGGGGAGCAAGGCAGGGCCTCCCATGGGGAATGTTCCTTCTGCAGAGATGAAATTGATACTGGGGGACAAGGGGCAAGACCCTCTTCTTTGGGATCCAAAGCAGCCTCCCAAGCTCCTTAGAGGCCCCCCACTGCAAACCAAGGAGGCCAGGCACAGAGAGCCTCACCCAGGGAGGCCACGTTCCCGTAGTTCTCCAGCATCACATCCCTGTACAGCGCCCGCTGCTGGGGGCCCAGCTGCTGCCCCTCCGCCTGAGAGAAGTACACGGCCACATCCTGGAAGGTCAGCGGCATCTGCTCCTGGAACAACACATTGTTGCTGCCTCGGTCCAAGTCCACTGGGTGGTGGACTATGCTACAGGGGCCTTGGCCTAGTGGAGCCCCATCACCCAGAGCCCTCCTGCAGTCGGTATGAACCCTGTGCTAGCAGATCCCTGAAGAGAGCCAAGGACTAGCTGACTTCAGCCATGGGGACCCAGCTGAACTCAGAGCTCCTCTCCCTGGGGGAGGCTGTGAGTCTACACCTCAGAACCCTTTCCTTGGGGGTGCTAGACTACCTGGCTTTACCACCTGCTGAGCTCACAGCTCCAGAGGAGAGCAGCTTCTGATGGGGGAAAGGATGAAGAAAGATGTTGGAGGGGGAGGTCAGGGAGGATGCTTAACTCACCTGAGGCCCTAGAAGCTGCTATCTTGGGGACATTGGCCACTGTGGGATCTAAGGAAAGATAAGAGGCTGCCCTGGCCTCAGGTCCCCCCACAACTTATCCTCTGCAGGAAGGGGGACCTAGAATCAGCTCCAATCAGCAAGGGGAATGGAGGGGTGGCCAGGAGGTAGAAATTGATTCCTAGTGTGGCCTCTCTGCTGGTGAGAAATGTTACTTATATAAATTTTAAGAAGCAGGTCATTACACAACAGGAGCCAACATGTGCCCTACTGCCCAGCTACTCCCGAAATCCTGGAGCTGCAAGAGTGAGAGCTCCGGTGAGGTCCAGTGACTCCCAGGTAAGGAGTGAAACCTGGCAGCTCCAGTGGTCCACACCAGCTGAGGGCCCTGGAATTGGAGAACAGGACCGTTCTAGCTTCCTGGACCAACTTGTGACAAACAGTGACATGAAAGTAGAAGGTTGCGCATCCTCCACCCAACAGGGCTGAGAATGTGTAAGGGTGGCAGGTGGGGTGTGCAACCGAGGGTCCCCAGCTCTAAGTGAGGCCAGCAGCCTGCTGTCATTCTTAGTCTGTCCTCCCAGCCTCTTAGGTCGGCCTAAGCTGTAATCACCCCCTCATTCTCCCAACAGCCTCCTTCGGCCTCTCCAGTTGGTCGGTGGCTCCCCAAGGCACCGAGGACTAAAGGCCCTCTTGGACAGGGCCGCCTGCCTCCCCTCGCCCTCGGCACTTTTGCACGGCTGCCCCTTCCTCCATTGCCCCTGGCAAGACCCAGCGACCTGGGCTGAACCCCCGCGAGGTTCCCTGAGGTGACCCACCTGCGTGCCCCTTCTCTGCCCGCCCATCAAACCAGCCTGCTTGGCCCTGGACCTCTACGGTCGGACGCCATCCCACCTGCTCGCTCGGACCCTGGCCGCCCACAGCCTCCCCGGGCTGCAAGAGGAGCGGGAGGAAGCCTCGCCTCCGGTCCCGGGCCCACCGATAGGGAGAGCTCTGCACGCTCTGTGCTGCCAGGCGGAGCCGAGCCCATAAGCCAGCAGGTCCACAGCACCCGGCCGGGACCCAGGGGCAAGCCTTGACGTAAAGGGGCGGGGCGGGCTTGGCCCGCGCCGGCGTGTCGCCCTCCAGGACCGTCGCCGGAAACAGGCTGAGGCCCCACCCCCACGCTTCCGGGGCTGCTCTAGGATAGCCAAATGGCCATACTGTCTATGGTCGGCGGATAGTGGTGGCTGGGGCACACGAAGTGGGAGGTGGGGAGACGGAGGAGAAGGGGAGGGAGGGCCGAGGAGTGGAGGACGGGGTTGGGGAGGAAGAGAAAGAGGGAGAACGGGAGGGGGGTGAAGGGAGGGCTGGGCAGCGGGTGGGGAAAGGGGAAGGCAGGTCACTGGGGAGGATGGGGAGGAGGAGAGGTAGGGCAGGTCAGGGTTAGCTAGGAATATGAGAAAGGAAGGGAAGGAGAAGAGAAGAAAGGGCGGGGAAGAGGGGAGGGCGGACAGGAGGTGGGGGAGGAGTAGAGGTGAAGGAGGAGGGGAGAAGGGGTGGGCTGGGGGGAGGAAGAGTGAAAAGACTGGGTGGGGGGAGAAGGGGCTGGAGTGGGAGGGGAGGGAGAGGAGTAAGGGAAAGGGTGGGGTAGGGGGAGGGGAGAAAGACCTGGGAGCAGGGAGGAGGGGAAGGGAAGGCTTGGCCTTGGCGTCCACAGTCCACGCCTCTGGCTGTACTCCAGGCTTTGTCCCAGTCTGTCCGCCACACATCATATATTCTGCTTCATCATAACAGCAAAAAAGTTGCATATGAAGATATCTAGTAGAGCGTGATTTTACAAATAGCACTTAAGTTTAGGAGGCAGCGTCCAGGATGGTGGAAGAAGGGAAGAAGCTAACAGCGATCTTGTCTGCAATATGCTGTAGACTGGGAGAATCAAGCCTCAAATTTTAGGTGTGAGCTTGAGGTAGTGAAGATGGAGGACTGTGTTTTTTTTTTTTTGAGACAGATTCTTGCTTTATTGCCCAGGTTAGAGTGAGTGCCCTGGCGTCAGCCTAGCTCACAGCAACCTCAAACTCCTGGGCTCAAGCAATCCTGCTGCCTCAGCCTCCCAAGTAGCTGGGAGTACAGGCATGTGCCACCACACCAGGCTAATTTTTTCTATATATATTAGTTGGCCAATTAATTTCTTCCTGTTTATAGTAGAGACGGGGTCTCGCTCTTTCTCAGGCTGGTTTTGAACCCTGACTCCTAAGCAATCCCGCCTGCCTCGGCTCTCAGAGTGCTAGGTTACAGGCGTGAGCCACCGAGCCCGGCCAGGACTGTCTTAAAAGTCTAAAATAAGCACCATGCAAACTCAACACATGATTAAAAAGCTGCCCATACATCATTAATATTCAGCGCTGGGGACAAGTGGATAGGAGTGTGATTAGAACAATCTGAAAATGAATTAAGCTGCATATAAGATCACTTAAACACGTATCTGGGAATCAACCCAAGGAAATAACAAAAGTTATAGATGAGGGTTAACCCTCTCAGAGTTGTTTTGTTTGGCTTTTTTAGGAACTGGGTCCTTGCTCTATTGCCCCAGGCTGGAGTGCACTGGTGTCATCATAGCTCACTGCAGCCTCCAACTCCTGGGCTGTAGCAATCCTCAGCTCAATTGACGCGCCTCCAGAGGTAGCTAGGATTGGCCTATGTCCACTAAGCTCTCATCGGTAGATATGGTTGTTGTATTTTATTAGGGTAAGCAATTTGAAGTAATCGGTAATATTTTCACACGTTTTATTGAGTTGTTGATAGAACTTGGAGAGTAGTAGCTTTTTCTCAGTGTAATAGTAGAGAAATAGGTAAGTCTAATTTTCTTGCTATTGTTACTCTCATCTTGATGGTTGTACGATAGAGTCTTACTACCTGTGTGTTTTGTGTGTTTTTTGTTATTTTTCTAATTTTGAGCTATGGTTTCGATTTTGTTGTACTTGGTGGATTACTGTGGTCAGTCAGCTAGGTTCCAGCGGACCTCAATACCTGGGATCATAGCAAAGATCCTGCTGGATGTGCCAATTTTCTTCTCAGATGTCTTAGCTGGGTTTTTCCTTATTATCATGTCATTGTGCCCTCTACTGCCCCTGCTCAATTTTTTACTCGATTCTATATCTTTTATCTTTTTTTTTTTGCTTTTGTTTTCCTCAGGTTCTTAGCATGTGAGTCGTTTGCTGTCGCCTTCTCTTTATTTTTTTTTTTTTTTTTTAGTCCTGAATCAATATTCCATTGTCTGGATATACCAGTTCTATTTATCCATTCATCTACTGAAGAACATCTTGGGTGCTTCTAAGATTTGGCAATTATGAATAAAGCTGCTACATAAACCTGTGTGCAGGTTTGTGTGCAGACACAAATTTTCAGTTCATTTAGATAAATACCAAGGGATACAACTGCTAGACTGTATGGTAAGGGTATGTTTAGGTTGGTAAGACTGTCAAACTGTCTTCCAAAGTGGCAGTACCATTTGGCATTCCCACCAGCAATGAGTGAGAGTTCCTGTTGCTCCACATCCTGGCCAGCACTAGGTACTGTTCAGTGTTGTAGGTTTTGGTCATTTTAACAGGTGTGTGATGGCATCACATTGTTTTAATTTGCAATTTCTTAATGATATATGACACTGAATATCTTTTCATATGCCCACTTCTCACCTGTATATCTTTTTTGGTTAGGTTTCTGTTCAGGTCTTTTATCCATTTTTTAACTTGGTTGATCACTTTCATATTGTTGAGTTTTAAGAGGTTTCTTTTTTTTAATATTATATTTTGGGTAACAACCATTTATTGGATGTGCTTTCTGCAGATATTTTCTTCTAATCTATGGTCTATCTTCTCATTCTCTTAAAGTTGTCTTTCATGGAACAGAAGATTTTTATTTTAATGAAGGCCAGCTTGTCAACTATTTCTTTCATGGATCATGCCTTTGGTGTTATGTCTACCCCAGGTACCTAGATTTTCTCCTATCTAGGAGTTTTATATTTTTACATTTAGGTTTATGATCTATTTTGCTATAGATAGAATTGTGTCCCTCCCCCTCAATCCTCTGTTCATATATTGAAGCCCTAACCTCCAATATAATGGTATTTGGAGATGGGGCCTTTGTGAGGTAGTTAGGGTTAGATGAGGTCATGATGGTGGGGCCAGGCAATGCGCCACCATGCCTGGCTAATTTTTTCGATATATTTTTATATTTTATCTTGCTTTGTTGCCCAGGCTAGAGTGAGTGCGTGGTGTCAGCCTAGCTTACAGCAACCTCAAACTCCTGGGCTCAGCCTAGCTTATAGCAACCTCAAACTCAAGTAATCCTGCTGCCTCAGCCTCTGAGTAGCTGGGACTACAGGCATGCGCCATCATGCCCGGCTAATTTTTTCTATATATATTAGTTGCCCAATTAATTTCTGTCTAATTTTAGTAGAGACGGGGTCTTGCTCTCACTAAGGCTGGTTTCGAACTCCTGACCTCAAGCAGTCCACCCGCCTTGGCCTCC